TTTTTTCTTTTTGTGTTTCTTTTTTTTCTTTTTGTGTTTCTTTTTTTCTTTTTGTTTTTCTTTTTTTTTGTGTGTTTTTCTTTTTTTTCTTTTTGTGTTTTTCTTTTTTTTCTTTGTGTGTTTTTCTTTTTTTTCTTTGTGTGTTTTTCTTTTTTTTTCTTTTTTTGGTGGTTTGTCACCAGTGGTAGCCAAACAGTTCTCTGCTTTTTAAACTAAATTCAAATCTTTGACCACAGCAAGGTGACATATTCTGCTACTTACTATACTCAATTGTAAGGATTAAAATAAAGTGTCTTTAGTTTTATGAGCATCCAACATGATGGTTATTTTGTAAAGGTAAATATGTTTTTCAGTATTAATCAACATTTTCTGGTCTCAAATGCTTTTGTAGGTCAGGTATACAACAGCAGCAAGAGCCTGGTTATCTCTCTTCTCTAGCATTAAGAATTATAAGACAGATATTGTGACTTCTGTATTTTAAGGAAATGCCTGTTTCAGATGAACTTTTCCTGCAGAAAAAAAAGTATAGGTATAAAAACGTATGCAGGATGTAGTCTTAGTAGCAGCTTTGGGGAAACTTTAGACTATATCAGTGAGTCTTGACACCTGTTTTATGCTTGACTTAACCATAACTTCTTAGAGTGTATCACCCAGTTATTTGCTGCACAGAGGGATACATTTCCTCTTACTCTAAACATGCTTTTGAGGTCTGGTGTAAATGTGCAAAGTACTCTATTTCACCTGCACTTGAACTCATGTAATTGAAACCCCTGGGGTTTACCTGCATCATCCAATGGCTACATCAGTTTGCTCTTGTCTCTGAGGTGTAGGAAGAAAGATGAGTTTTGTGGTGAAGAATACTTAAAATGAAAACTTGATTTGACTTGTTGGTGTTTGTGTATATCAAAAAGGTTTCACCTCTGATTAACAATTCTATCTTACGTTCTAGGTAAAACTTCCATTTAATGCACAAAGGATTATCTCACTTTCCAGAAATGACTTCCAGTCATTTCTGAAAATGCATAAATTAACTCCTGAACAATTGGACTGTATTCATGATATCCGAAGACGAAGTAAAAATAGAATTGCAGCCCAGCGATGTCGCAAGAGAAAGCTTGACTGCATACAAAATCTTGAATCTGAAATTGAAAAACTGGTATGTATAAATATTCATTGCTTTTGTTGTGAGTCTTTCTCAAAACATCTTGACTGGGTATCTGGCAGTAGTTGGAGAGTGAGGTGGCTTATTACTTTTTCCACTCAAGCTTAGAAAACTTTATCAGTCTCAGATAACTTCTTAATAGCAGTTCATTATTTTTCTGTGCTTTCCTCTAAAGGACACACACCTTTCCTTCTGTGCACTTGTTTCCATTCAGATAAAAGTGCATCACAGCATAATATTTGGTGAATGATGTTTCCAAAACCGTTGTTTAATTGTACAGAACGATTCCCAAACCATTATCCCAGACTGTTTTCTGCCTCCTCCCCTTTCTTGCTTTGCAATTTTTGTTCTTCAGCTCATGGTGTTGCTCATGATCAAGTTTAGTTACACAATTGTTAGTTGTGTAAGTACAGTTCTTGGAACATATTAACATGGGCTGGTGAACTGTTTCCTGAGCCTTGAATCTTAAAAATGAGACGCTTGCAGAAGGGCAGAAGATACAAAAGAACTTGGGAAGTTGCTTGCCTTTTTAGCAGTTGCATCAAAATTGTAGCTGAGGAATTAATGCATCCAGATTTCTCTGCTGCCATCTGTTAATACAATTTCTCCTTCTTAAGAAGGCAATAAGAAGATAAATACGTCATTTAAGAGAAATATAGATAATCTGAGGTTAGGATTACCCACAAAATAGCAATGGCAAGAAAATAGAGTGGCTTTTCAGAAAAAAGTCTTCGTTTCTGACCCTCTCATTTCAGTTTCATGGTTGATCATACCATGTGCACTAAACAGTTCAGTTGTTTAGGATTACTGTACTCTTAAGTCTTGTCCTTGGAACATTTGAGACTTAGTGTATGTGAATTTGATATTTGCATCAGCTAAGACACAGTCACGTTGCACCTTTCTTGACTTGAGAGTGAAAAGGAAAATCAAATTAGAGCCAAGTGCCATGGGATGGAAAGTATTTTCCTGAATTGATCCATCATCTTTCACTACATGTATTCCTATTTCTGCAGTGAAGGAGATAGATTTTTTTGAAGGAAGACCTGCAGTGCCTAAAATTTAGCCTTGATGAGTTGACAGAGCAGGTCATTTGTTGTGCTGAATGGAGATGATGCTCTGAGAGAGGGAAGGAAATCAGGTGATTGTGTTAATAGCATTTTTCTGACTGAAGGGAGAAGTTGCATTTCTGACATTTCAAAACTTTCTGCCTGGCTTTGTCATCATATTGTTATTTCTGTTATGTAACTCTGTCAATATTTTGTAACACTTGAGCAGGGCATTAAAGGTTGATCTGCAAGATTAGACATATAGTTGTTTAAGTGGCTAATAATTATAGGTAATATTCTTTCCTCTGGATCTGGGCTGGAACAGACTGAATGTCAGCTGTTTGATGGATAACACTGTGCAAGGTCTAGGTAATGAGTGCTGAGTTTTGAGAATTGTGAGGTGAGGTCTCAGTTAGAGGAATTACACACTAAGCACAAATGTGTTCCAGTTGCATATTTTTTTCCAACTGTGCAGATAAGTTTCTTCAGAAATTCCTGAGAAGATCTTTTTTTGGAGCTGTTGAGCATGTCTGATGGCAACGGGTGTTGCACCATCAAACTTATGTAAGGTCTACATGAATACAGAAACATTAAGATCTGTCTAGGCATAATTTCCAAGTGGAGGGAAGTAGAGAGACGTCTGTGAAGAGCGATGTGTGGTACATCCAGGTTGCTTCGTGCTTGATGGCTCCTGCTTTGTTCCTGTTTCTCTGGGTCAGTCAAATCTTTCAGACTTTTTAGTCTTTAATCTCATGGTATCTTCTGTAGTGTGACTTTAAGAGGGGATAGTATGGTGTATTATTATAGTTTATATATAGTTTTATATATATAATTTTATAGACTGTATATATAGTAGTACAGTTGATATATAGTTGATAGCATTACAGTTTGAAACCTTTTGACAAGTAGGTAATACTCTGTCCTATAGCCTGTTAGGAAATACTATTTGGTGAAATTCCTCATCCTGGCTTCTAGTATGTACAGCATGTTGTCTTATAATAATTTCTATTTGGTGTTGCTTATAGTTTTTTTCTCTCAGATTAGGAGATAGTATTTGTGGTATGTTTGTTGGGAAAGTCCTGTATCTGGAACAGAATAACTCCCCAAGTGAGTAGAATCTGGAGACTGACAGCTGGAGAGTAGCCTTGCTGAAAAGGACCTTGGGATCTGAGCAGAGAGCAGGCTGAGCATGGGTTGGCAAACATGTCCAGGCTGTCAAAAAGACCATCAGTGTTCTGGGATGTGTTAACAGGAGCATAGTGAGTTGTTTGAGGGCAGTTATTGTTTTCCTATACTTAGCGTGGGTAAGACTGAGTCTTTTGCTGAGTTTTGAACTCGCCCAGTGCCAGGAGTGCATTGAAAAACAGGAGCAAGGCCACTGAGATGGAGAAGAGGTGGGTGTGGGGGGACCTAATACCCAGCTGCTCATATCTGTGGGGAAGTTCTTGAGGTTATTGTAGCTGTCGTGAATGAAAGACCTTCAGCTTTCAGGGGGTAGTACTCGACAGCAAGAGAACAAGGGGAGATTTCAACTGGATATAAGGAAACACTTCCATGGGGAGAGGCAGGCAGTGGAGCAGTTTACACAGAGATGTTGTGCATGCCCTGTCCTCAAGGTTTTTGTGACATGACTAAGCAAAGGCCTGAGCAGCCTGATCTTAATCAGAGCTGACTGTTTTGAGCAGGAGGTGAGACTACAGACCTGCTGAGGTACCTCCCCACCTGAGTGATTCTGTAAAATTGGAAGTCTTACATTAAGTTCTACTTATATTGAAGAAAAATATTGTCCAGTACTGAATCTGTTATCTGGGAGAATTATCTTTTATCATTTGTGTTGATCTTCTGTACTGACAGTGTAATTTTTGACCCCCCCATATAGTCTTTGCTTTTTGACCTTTCAGGTGAATCCCTGTGTTTTTGTTGTTCACTAGTGTTCTGTATTTGAGAACACACATGGGCCACTTCAGATGTTGGCTTGTTAGAAGCAGCTCTTTCAGAGCACCTGTGTACATTCAGATTCCTTGTACTTTACCCTGTGCAATGTGCTCTAGGATGACCCTGCTTGAGCAGGGAGGTTGGACCAGATGACCCACTGTGGTCCCTTCCAAAGTTACCCACTGCAATTCTCACTTCAAAACTTTAAAATTAGGATACCTGTGAGGAGTAACAGAGTAGACAATAACTGGGCTCAAGAAGCACTACTTGGATGAAGATTCTGTAGATGAGAAGGACATGTCAGTTAGTGATCCAAGAAACGTAATTGAGATCTTATTATTTGTATTAGAACAGAGTGAAGTGTGTGAACTAAAAGCATTCTTCACCAGAAGAATTAAAAGAGCTCTCAGTTTACTATGACCTCAAAACTGACATTACTTTGCAGTATTAGTATAGTGCTGCTAAAATAAAACAATATTTAAATTTATTGATCTGTCAACAACTTCACATAGGGGTGGGGAACCTACACTGGAATAACTATTTCTGAATGTTGATGTTTGTTTTAAACAGCAGTCCAGATAATTTCATCAGTCCATAATACACAGTTGAGTGCCTCTACATACCCAAAAGGTACATAAAGTGATTTTAGATAGGAGATTTGGCAACAGAATGGAAGAGATTATTCTCAAAAGTATTGAAAAACAGCTGGAGGGCAGTGCAGTCGTCAGTCACAGCCAGCACACAGCTGCAGGAGGGGAAAGTCCTGCTTGTCGAACCTGATTTCCTTCTACAACAGGGTAACCCACCTAGTTGATCTAGGTAAGCCAGTAGACATAATGTTTTGGGATTTTAGCAAAGCTTTTGATGCTGTCTCTCAGTGTCCTTTTGAACAAAGTGCCCAACATACATCTGAATAACCATGATGGGTGAGCAGCTGACTCACAGGTTGGGCACAAAGAGTTCTAGTGAATGGGGTAACATCAGACTGGTGTCTGGTCACTAGTGAGGTTCCACAGGGCTCCATCCTTGGCCCAGTTCTCTTCAACATCTTCATCAACAACTTGGACACTGGACTCAAAGGAATACTAAGTTAGCCAATGAAACTAAATCAGGAGGAGCTGTTGACTCCCTTGAGGGCACAGAAGCCCTGCAGAGAGGCCTCAAAAAAAACGGAGAGATGGACAATCACCAACCATATGAAGTTTAACAAGGGCAAGTGCTGGATTCTGCACCTGTGATGGGGCAATCCTGGTTGCATGTATAGACTGGGGAATGAGAGACTGAGGATGGTGAAGGGTCTGGAGGGGAGGCCTTATGAGGAGCAGCTGAGGTCACTTGGCTTGTTCACCCTGGAGAAGAGGAGACTGAGGGGAGACCTCACTGTGGTCTTCAGAATTCTTACAAGTGGAAGCAGTGGGGCAAGTATCAATCTCTTCACTCCTGTGATCAGCGACAGGACTCAAGAAAACAGCATGAAGCTGAGTCAGGGGAGGTTTAGGTTGGATATTAGGAAAAGGTTTTTCACCCTGAGGGTGGTTGGGCACTGGAACAGGCTCCTCAGGGAAGTGGTCACAGCACCAAGCCTGACAGAGCTCAAGGAGCGTTTGGCCAGCGCTCTCGTGCATGTGATGTGATTCTTGCTTGGGGTGTCCTGCGTAGGTCCAGGAGGTGGCCTCAATGATCCCGATGGGTCCCTTCCAACTCAGCATATTCTATGATTAACAGCTGCTCCCAGTATGCTGACAAGTAGAAATTTATTAGCAAAGCTGTCTTCTGAATAATTTTAGGCAAAAAGGACTGGTAACAACTGCTCCTCTTGCCAAATGCTGCTGAAAATTAACCAGTTCTTAAAAAAAAAAAAAAAAAAAGAAAAAGGTAGAGGTTGCAGTATGAGTTTCTCCTGCAAAGGGAGATGATAGAAGGAGTGAAAATAATTAAACTTTCCAGGAGTGCATTGACATAGCAATAGCTGTAACACACAGTCCCTATGATTAACATTTACTACATAAAAACTATTTAAAGCTTTGTATATCTTCAAAACTGTCTCTTAATTAAATAGAGAATTTAAAATTAATGTGTTGTGACATGTTTGGTTTTGGGTTCTTTGTCCTCTTCTTTCAACTGCTTCATTATGGCCTTGCTTGTTTCCTGTCCTTTGCCATTTCCTCATAGGGGTTAGGATTGACCTTTTGACACACACTTGATTGTACTGCTGTTTACCTTAATGCCAAATTACTTCTCTTTCAGCAGACCAGATTATTTACATTCTTTTTTTAGCTTTGGTAGGAACATAAACCGTAGTTTTGATGTTAAAATGTAGACTAAAGGGCTGTTTTTCTTTTTGCAGCAAAATGAGAAGGAGAACTTGCTGAAGGAAAGAAACCACATTTTGTCAACTCTGGGTGAGACAAAGCAGAATCTGACTGGACTTTGCCAGCAGGTGTGTAAGGAAGCAGCCTTGAGTCACGAGCAAATACAAATACTTGCAAAATATTCTTCCTCAGATTGTCCACTCTTACTTTTGTTCCCGAAGAGAGAACAAACAGCTCCGTCTGATAGTGAGCCTGCAGTACCAGCGTCTGTAGAATCAGCAGATGGTCTTTCAGGTGTTACATCTACAAATGAGCAGAGTTCTTGTTATCAGTGTGTCAAAAGTGTGTGTGATGCAACATATGATCAAGTACAAGAACTGCATCCAGTTTCTGTAAGAACATTGGAGGAAACGTTACTTGTGGAACAGTGTGGACACAGCAGTGGTATCACAGACTTCTGTCAGCAGATGACAGACAAATGCACTACAGATGAGTGAATCTCTTGTTCCTATTGCCAGCCTCTCAACATTGCAACTAAAAGTGAGATCGAGCATTATTGGAAAGTAGCTTACTAAGTGATAAAAAGATGAAACTTTATCTTCTGAAACTACATTGACAGATAAGTGGTCACTATATTACTTGGCAAGCTTTGGGTTTGCTCTGTGTAATTCTGGAGAGTAATTTATATGTGTCAGCCTTGAAGCTTTTTCTTGTGTGGTGATGCCAAGGAAGGTTCAGGAAAGTTGTTGGAATGTATAAACTCCATGTGCAGGTGTTTATTTTTGAGAAAGCTTTCATTCACATACAGGACAGCCTTTGCTCTGACTTATGCCACAGTAACTAATGCCACTCCGCATCTCAGTGAAAGCCTCCTAACAGGTGTTTATGCACAATAACTTCTATACCTAGAATTCTTCTAAGATTTCTTTTTGCCTGGTAGACAAACCTTAAAAAGCACATACAGCTTGTAAATGCTTATTTTGTAGATGAGTTAGGATAACATGACAGTATGAGGAGATTCTGGCAAGTGCGCTCTGGAACAGCTCATTGCTTCTTGCTGTTCCCATCCCTGTCCCAGACTAGACTTTTACTGAATAAAAATAGTAAGCTAGTAGTAGTAGTAAATTTGAATAGTAGTAGGCTTTTATTGAATATATGCCTTTGTCTTAGCTCTCCAGTGTAGAGTTAAGAGAACTGGAACGGCAGAGGTGCTGCCACATACTGCTCTCTTCTCTTAAATTTAGTGGGAGGAATAACAACTGTGAAAGGCAGATGTTTGAAACTGATGCAGTTCTTGGATGAGTGTGCATTGGATCCTCTGGCATCTGAATCCCATAGGCTTGTTAAAATTCACTGCTGTATTGTGACTTACTGTCCTAGCACCTTCAAGCTTTCTGCTTGCTTGTGGTAATTTGGAATCAAAGTATTATGGAAGTCTAAGGACAGATTTTTTTTTTTTTTTTAAGGTATTCAGGCACTACAATTTTTTACTTAAGTGCCTAACTGCATAAAGTTACAAATATATTTGTTCTCTGATCACTGGGACCAGTAAATTTCTATTTCAGAATCTTAGTCTTTGGCGTACTTTATGGCTAAACCTGTAGTACGTTTTCAATGGCTTGTGCTATTAGTGTAGGTATATAAAAAGTTTATTAAGGAAATGAGCTGGAGATATTTCCTTTATTTACTTTGTGAAGGCGAAATTCAGCTACTGAAAACAATCCCCGTTTTTTAGATTTTTACATAGCAGTGGATGCGTATTGTATACCAATGATGCTTTGTTATTTTGATGTTATTCTAACAACAGAACTAAGTATTGAACCTCACCACAGAAAACTTTGGTTTTGCTGGTTTACAAAACATGAAGAATCTTGAACAAGCCAGTGGAATTCTTCATTTCCTACCTCAGTATGTATATTAGCTCTTTGTGTCTTTGTGTGCATGTACAGTAGGCAGCAAAGGACCCTGTAAATACCACTTTTCAGTTTTATCTTGCAGTGAGACAAAACTTGTTCTTGGCAAGACTTTTTTTTTTTTTCCCCTCTCCCCACCACCCATAGGTAACATAGCATTAATAAATACATTAAACCGCTTATTTAAAACAAAAATTTAAAATTTGACAGATTTAAACAGGACTTCTCATAACCAGCACAAAATGCAAATGACTACACACTACCTCACCTATGGGATTGAAAGTTGATTCGAAATCTCTAGTGATATCCTTGGATTTTCATCATATATCGTTACTTTTAAGGGGAAAATTATGTTAATGGAGCATAGCTTGTATAAAACACAGTGCTTGCAGTAATTGAAATTCAGAAATAAGTACTACATGGGAGACGTCATGAGAGTTCTACTGATATGCTTTCAGATAATTGAATTGAAATTCTCTTAAATTACTGTCATTGATTGTATGTTGATCATGTATATGTATTACTTACAAAGCTCTGTGGGCTTTTTTTTCCAGTGTCTGTAGATTCCTGGTTAATTTAATCTTGCCTCCCTTGCATGCCTACCCATCCTGGGTAGCGTTTCGCTCTCAAGTCTCCATTTTATTTAAAAAGCAAACCAAAAAGAAACAATAAAAAACAAAATGGAAAGCCCCAAACCCCTCTACTTTTCATAACTACTGTCACTGTTAAAGCTGGTGATACTCTGAAATGACGTGGACAATGGCATTGTCCTCATAGTACACGTACTTCAAAATGGAACTCCATGGGCTAAACGCTTGTTCTAAACGGGTGGAGCGTATATGTAGGCAGTGGCTGGCTGGGAGCTTATCCAGTGGCCCAAACCCCTGACACACTTGGCTGTAGATGCTGGAAAACAAGGTCAGCGATTACCAAGTTAAAGGCTGGAATATCCACTAGAGGCTTGTGCTCCACCTCTGCGCTCTGGTGATCAGCCACAGTCTGAATTCCACACAGCTAATGGTGGAGGGATTCCAGTGCAGAAATCGTGACTGTCGTTGACCTGGGATAAAATTAACATCGTGTTTTTAAACCTGTCATGAACTTGATTGTGAGGGTAGGGTTTCGCCTGACCAGCTGCATCTAAATAATTTTTAAAATATTTATTTAATACTGTAGACCTACAAGTTGCATGTTGACTTCTATAGCCTATGTCATCAACTTGCAAAAGTTAAGAATGAATGACAATTTTATGATACAGAATTCTCAGGAAAATGTTTTTTGGAGTTTGGTTTTATTTTTTTCTTCCAGTAAAGAAATATTTGATTTTGAAATTGTAAAATACTTTGCTAAAGCATGTTTTAAAATACTTTGAACAGACTATCTTGAAACCATAAAGGTATGATGGCATACAGATTGTAAAATAAACAGATAATTACAACAGTTGATTTTGTATCTTTCATAATTCAGTATTTTCTAAGACTACAATAAAAACCACTATCCTTTCTACAAAGGCTTTTCTATTTTGTACACATCTTCTGCTGTGAAAAATCTCTGCTGGTGCATTATTCATAAATATTTCTGCAAATGGTAGCAAAGTAGTCTCTCTATAGTTTATAAGTTTTATAGGCCCAAAATACTAGCTCAGGGTTTTTCAGATGAAGTTGACATTTCTTAATAATCCAGAAAGGTAAGTGTATCAAAGGTTGGTATCTTCTAAACTATTTAGGATGTTTCCTCAGTAATACATATTTCACTCTATTGATTTTTTTTTTTTAATTTAATATTCCCAAATGCATGAATATTCTTCTCATCCTACTGATGATCAGATTTGTCATGTGGAAAACCTACTGTTTCATATGAAGAGCGAAGTCAAGAAAGTCAGAATCTAAAATAAAAAGTAAAAATTATCAAATAAGTAATGAATGAGAATAATATTACAATACAAGTAAGTCAGTATATTTTGTTAACTTCAGAAATAACATTTAAGGCTTTCTTGATATATGATAATAGTCTAGTAAGAATTTGGTATGATACTTTAACAAGGTCACATAGTTTTTACAATCTACTATTTTGTATTTACTGTGAAAGAGGAGGAGATGAATGGGAGAGACATGGGAAGAAACAAAATGCTTACTAATCAAAATATATATTCGACTTTATTAACTTGATGAAGGCCATAAGTCTCAAGCTCTTGGGTGAACTGGCATGATTTTGTTTAAATGCATTTGGTGATGATAAAGTTCTCAATCATATTGCAGGTTTTTTTCTGAGCCCAGTGGTAATAAATCAGAAGATCCATGTCATGTAAGCCTGTCAGCATTTGGGACTTTTTCAGGTAATGATCTAGGAAACAAGAAAGATTTTCAGTGAGTAGCCCTTACTGATTCTGAGTTTTCATTCCTGTCACTCTGACTCTTGTTAAAGGTGGCACTTGATTTGCTTTAGTAAAGGATCCATTAAAGTCATAGAGGCATACTAGATACTTTTAGGTAGCAGTGATAAATGGTGTATTGAATCAGCATGTGAGGCATCTGTTTAAATGCAGATGTTACAATACTGTTGGTATAATTACATAATTGCTCATTGTAATTTTAATTACTTGTATTTACCTTAGTTACATATATTTATTACATTCACTTGAATACAGGATAACCAACTGGAAACTATGTGAAAATAATAAAGGCTTTTTCATAAAAAAAGGCATTCATAACAAAGTAGTTATGAATAATATGGTAAAAAGCAGGGGACAGGTACAGGGATAAAAGGCAGCAGAAATCACAGACTCCCCAGATCTGGGTTAATAGTGGATCATGGAAGTTTGGGGAATATCACTGACACTTGTACACTGGGCAGGTCCATTTTTCACACAGATGGTGTGTGAATCTAGGAGTGCTAAGAGTTACATAAAACTTTCAGACTCCTCTGGTCTCTGAAATAAATGAGTCCTGCTCACCCATAAACCCAGAAAACTTTAATTTGTGTATGTCCAGGTGTCATCCCAAAAAGCTGATGAACCTGTAAGTCCAAACTCAGTTGATGGGGAAGGTGAATGTCTTAACGATGCTTAACCCAGCCACCTTTGGGTTTGTTTCTGTGTTTTTTTTTACCAAAACCAATAACAGGAATAATAAAAAGGACCTTATTACCTCTACTGAACAAGAGAGTGGCCCATGCTTTTTAGTAGACAGCAGAGAAGGCACACAGGGTGAGGGGATGATGAAAGCCTCACCTAACAAAAACATTATTTGTGTTTTGCTCCTTGCTCAGGAATTGCTCTCCTGTCAGGCATTCTTGGTACTCAGTAATCACAAGCTGAAATGGGTTGCATTTCAGATGAGATATGTTGGAAACCATATGCTTTTATTTCTAGAATTCATCATTATGGTTTGTCTAAGGTATGGTGTCTCCTGTGGTTAGGTAGAGCCCTTCCCAGGTTCTGGCTGCTGTCGGAGAAGTGTCTTTCCTTTTGTCTGGAAGCAATCCTTGGATGTATTCAGTTTTGGAGGTGGACTCAAAATTTCGGTGGTGGTCTCCTGAAAAGAAATAACAGTTCTTTCCCATAGGAAGTAAAGTGCGTAGGGCCAGTGTTTCAGGGGCAGATAATAGGCTGTGCATGGCAGGTATTAACCATACTGTCCTGGCACATTTTTTCTGGGAGAAATCCCTAGAAATAATCCATTTTGGAGGTGGAACCACATTGCATTGGTGGTCTCCTGGTAGAAAATGACAGTTCTTTCCTTCTCCCACAGATGAACTGTCATCTTCTCTTCACTCTCACAGATCTCACTTGCTAACCATAAAGAGTCCAGCAGCTGAGCCTATGCCAAATGTCCAAGAAGGAAAACGCAGCTGATTTTACTCTTTCCCAGAAAGCAGAGAACTATACCAAACTCATGGCTGCAATGCACTTCTCACCTATTCCTACCATCCACACTCTCAGTCTCACAGCCCAGACCAAATCTGAGCAGTTTCCAGGTACAGCCCAAAAAAGAGAAGTGTGCCAAGAGAGAAAGCTTTCCGTGACCTGCTCCTTCTAATTGCGAAATTCTAGGTACTCTGTTATAGGGGTTTTGGGGGTTTTTTTTGTTTGGTTGGTTTGTTGGTTTGTTTGGGGTTTTTTTTAACTCCTGGTGAATGTTCCACACCAACAGCCTGTCTGGGGTGGGGTAAGTTCAGGCTTCATTGGTCGCCTGGCTTGGATCGTCCCCTTGAAACACTGATGACTTTTCTCTGCAAGAAGCAGGATTCTTGCTTTCCTCTGCCCGAGACAGAGGAGGAAGGTAGATTTTTACTGTGTAACTTTAGCTGAAGCAGCAGCAGCCAGAAGGGAAATAGGGGCTGGCAGTTTTTGACTGGGAGGTGCTTAGTTTGGGGGTTCATCTTTTGGGCTGGGTAGTTTTTGACTACTTCAAGCCCCGAGGGAGGTCCCGGTTTCGCCTCTGCCCACTGCCTGGACGCCTCCTCGGAGCTGCTGAGGACCAAAGGAGCTCCCCTTTGTCACTCGCTCTCCCCGCTTTTCCCTGGACGGACCGGCACCTCCGTCCCTTGCCGGCTGCCGCCTCCAGAGCCCCGGGCGCGGCGCGGACTGCCCGGGGCTGGCGCTGCCTGGGGAAGGGCTTCAGCCGCCCCCACTCTGCCATACAGTCAGATAGTCCCTGTGGGGGGCTCGCCCTGGGGTCCCAGCCCAGCTGCCGCGGCTGAGATCCGCCCTTTGGGGCTCGGCTGGAAGTGGGAACCGCTCCCTGGTTCCCCAAAAACCGGCACCTCCGGGACCCGACAGCGCCCCCTGCTGGGCGCGGCTGTGACTGCGCCGAGGGGCGAAAAGCAGCTCCTTGTTTTGGGTGGGAGTTTGGTTACGGGGCTGCTGCTTGTTTTGTGGTGTTACCTATATATATATGCATATTCTTTAGAAAAGAGCTGTTATTTTCTTTTCCGCACCTTCTCGACTGGAGCCTCTTAATTTCAAAGTTATAATTACTCAGAAGGAGGAGCTTGGTTTTTCTCCTGTCTTGCCCTCCTTAGCTAACGTTTCTGTCTTGTTAAACTGAGATGTTTATTGGGGCCCAACGTGGGGCTCGACGACCGGAAAGGTGAAAAAGGGATAACAACTCTTGTGTAATCCATCTGTGTCTCGATTTCGGAGCCCCTAGGCCCCATGCTGCCTGAGTTAGCAGCTTCTCTTTGGCACATAACCATGCCCAGAGGCCTGTGCAGCTTGGCTGTTTTCTTCAGCTTGAATGATAAGACCCAAGTGGTGATAACTGCTTTCGAGTTCATATGTTGGGTTTATGACACTGCAAATTCACCACCTATGAGTCTCATCTGGAGTATGTCCTCAAGGCTCTAGCCTAAGCTGTTTCCTCCACGGATTTAAGGATAATGGCACCAATCCTTGTTGAGAAACACAGGGGGGTATGTTTTCCCAACCCGTCATCCATTTCCCCTTTTAGTCCACTACAGTTGCTTCTGGGAAGTTTAAATCCTCTTTAGATGCCAGAGATGTCTTGCCCTTTGGGCTTTGCGTGCAAGTTTGTGCCATTATGGCCTACTAATATATGAAGATAGGGCCAGGAATTGTCAAGGATGCATCCAGAAGCCCACCCCAGGGGTGGGAAACCTCAAGTGGCATGGGCTGTGGGAAGATATGGGTAAGTTCTTAGAAAATTGTTCCAACATGGAAGTTCACCCTTGAACAACTCCTAAACCCCATGAAAATCATGAAATCTGTGAAGGAGAAAGGTTTTGGTAGACCCATGGAGGGGCAGCTCACAGTTGCACGTGGAGCTTTGTTACTGCCTACCAGAAGCTGCTCGGCATGGTGCAGAACTTCCAGGGAAAAGGGAAAGACGAGAGTAAAACACCTGATACCATGGTGACTCAGGATATGGCCAAACCAAAAGAACAGACCAAGCCAATGGAGGTTGCCACATATCTCACAATTGAACAAAGACAAGAACCCACTTAGCCCCCACCTCCAGCTTGATAAATGTTCGGTTATTCAACCTCTCACCTCTACCACCAACCAACCTTCAATTAAAGGGCAGGCCATGGCTCTCTTCAGGCATCCAGGATAAGGAATGTTGCTGTTAACCAGCATTTAAAAACTTGTAAGAGCAGAAATTGCCTCAAAAATTACACTGGAGTAACACAAGCTCCTCTAGCAGGTAGTAACGAAATCTTTTAGTTACCTAAGCATAAAAGAATACGAGACTCATCACTACAAGCCAAACTTGAGCACCACTTCAAAATATACCATGAAGGTGTAGGGTGGAAGCTTTTTTAAGAGAAACAGTGCCTGCCAGTGGGGCAGAATGGGGAAATGAATTCAGAGTTTTTGAAGAAAACATAAAACCTCACAATAGTAAAATTAAGTAGTGTTGGGTAATAAAAACACCCTCACTTTTTGAAATTATTCTTGCTTTAGACTACAGCTGCTTGCTTTTATTGAAAAACATTAGGTGGAACACTCATACTGTACAAGAAACGCTGACAATTAGTCAAATGCACAGAAGACCAAAGACAAATAACTGAAATATCTGCATTAAAGCAAAAAAAATTGCTGGCATGTGTTCCTAGTTAGCATTTTGAATTAATGGTTCAAATATATACCAAGTTTTGCTTAAAGGAGTGCTGCCAACAGCCTGGTTTGGTTTCCTCCCCTTGAAGCTGTAAAACATCTGACTTTCGATACTGCAGTTGTGAGATACTGAGTTCAAATCTCACTGAATTATATATTCATGTGGGTCAGAGTCAACTGGCCTTAAGTGTGTGGCTGGGCCTGCAGGTACATGGCAAGGCCTGCCCACAGAGAGCACATGGCAGAGCCACAAGGCACAGGGTAAGGCCTGCAGCCAACACGGATGGCTGAGCCCACGGAGCACACAGGGCAGCTCCAAGAGCCATGTGGCCGGGCTATCAGCCAAGGCAGACCTGCCTGGTAGCCCACCCACACCACACCCCTGGAGCCTGTGACTGGCTACACACCCCTCACTCTGGCCTGGAAGGCACGGAGTGGTCAGTGACTGGATATCCCCCCTGGGAGGCAGGACCAAACTATATAAATGTGGGAGCACGAGACCCTACGAGAGCTCTTCTCTTTTGGCTGCCGCCATGAGAGCCATCAGATCGTGGCAGTAACTATTTTTCTCTCCTTCCTCTCTCCTCTCTGTTTCTTTACTTCGTTTTCTTCCTTTAGTCTTTTCTTTCTCTTGTGGGTAACTTAAAACCAATGAGTTGTGTTCTACTAAGATGGTGTACTGATTGTTTTGTGGTGGACGCTTTTGTGAACTGAGCCTTTGTGCTGGGTGGCTTGGTGAAATACTTATGCCTTGGTTATGCCACCCCTGTAAAACCTTTTGCCAAAATATCTTATTTTCTCACTAAATTAAAAGAAATTCTCTTAGAGAAAGTGTAGCAGCGTTTTCTCTATATGTGAATTCAAAGTAAGAACGTACTAAAAGCTTTTCAAAAGTTTAGTAAGCAAACATGAAATTCTTAAATATAAGTAATATTTACAGTTAAGCGTAAAGCTTCAAAACTGGAGCATTATAGCATGGAAAAGCCATTTTATCTAATGCTTTTAAAGCCTTTATTGATGTCACATTTTAGCTTTGAACTTGTAAAAAAAAAAAACCCATGAAACTAACAAACCACAAAACCACAGTTTTTGGCCCATTCCTGTCTCTGAGCATGAGTTGAGCAAAGGCTGTGGAGACAAGACAGGCAAAAGTGACTTAATGTTGTTCCTTCAGACATCACAGCATCACAGGGAGGTTTTGCATTGGTTTAGGAAAATGCACACCCAGTTCAGTAGATATTGAATATCAGGGAAGTCAAGAGATAAATTCTTTGCTTTCAGAGAGAAAAAATTAAATAAATATTTACATTAAACCAGAAGTCTACAGATTGATTTATCACAAGTCTTGCTTAAGAAAAAAAAAAAATCTATTTCTATCTGGGGTATCCTTTTAAGAGAAAGAAGAGGTTGGCTAGGATGCTTACTCAGCACTGTTCCACTACAGCACGAGCCACTCATGTCTTTCAGCTCTCTGACAGCTTTTCCAATGTTTCCACTGATCCCAGAGGATTACAAGGACAAGTTTCACTTTCTCCCGTCTTCAGCAGTCAAACATGTAATTTCTTTCAGACTTTCTTGGGCAGAGGAGCCACCCACGACTCAATAGCTGTCAGTCTTGCCTCCAGAGCTTTTAATATAGTGTGTGACTGCAAAACAACCAGGGAGAGGGACGGTTACAAACGGAATTTCACAATACTAAGAGCAAGTGTAGGTGACAGACAGGGCTCAAATCTGATCTCACATTACCAATCCTATTTGATTTTACTTCGGTTACTTTCACAGTTCGAAAGCTCACTTGACTCTAACGTTCGCTCCGTAACTTTTTCCAGCCTTGGCGCCAGAGCCACACGCTCGCCTTTTGCTGGACAACCATCACCTTCCACAGTCAACTTCCTTATGCTATTTGCTCCCAGCCTTCCCTACCTGCAGTCACAAGTTTTCAGTAGAGTAAAACATCAACTTGATTTATGATGTAATATTTCAATACAAAGTTACAGCAAAAGCATTTGCACAAAAGGCAAAAGAGACATGGCTATAAGTTAAGTGAAGATCTGGAGAAGTGAATCAGAACTAATTAGGAGTGAAATATCAAATTCCTGAGACATAAATAGGAATCTAACGCTGTGAATGATAAACAGAAAATGCCAGTTACTGTGAAAATTAAAGGAAAAGTTACTGAAAATCTGGCATAACACAAGATCCTAATGGCATGGAGCAGTACAACAGACGTTATAACTCACAGAATTGCTCTGGATGAAATAAGCTGTTTTGTAGAAGCTATTGAAGGATATTAAGATTTCGCAGAGGTGATTTAAACAAAGAATGATATAAGGTTAAATCTTACCTTTTCCAGCACCTCTTGCAAGACAGCGTGACTTTCAAGAGTCAGCGGCTCCTCATCAGTAAGAGCTTGCTTTTCTGAGGATCCTAGAACATAGCTGAAATGCCACAGTTTAGATCATGAGCTTCTCACTCTGAAGGCAAAAAGCCAAAGGTAATGCTGCTCCAGAACCCCGAAAGACAGCCATGGGTTCTGGGGCTTCAAGATACAGCAAAAAATTACACAGACATGGAGAATGAAGAAGTGCTGGCTGGGAGAAGCAGCCACAGCCATCACTGCCTAAGAAAGTGCCTGTTTGTGGCCAGGTTAGTGCTTCAGAGCATTTTACTGCCGTGGGAAAAACAAAGTATCAGAGCTGTGGAATGAATTAAAAAAACCTGAAACAACTGTCCAGAGTAAGAGGGTGAACAGCCACATCGATACAGCACAATAAATGGGAACCTAACAAAAAAACAGAAACATTGAAACTAGCCCAGACAGAAAAAATCAGTGTTTACTAGAGCATATGCATTCATAAAAGAACTCTGGTGTGGAGCCTTAGTTCAGGATATAGTTATTGAAGAACATTTTAAGACCACTTTAAAGTGCTATAAACCAATTAAACCCAAGCACAGCTTCATTTTCCAGACAGTTTTTAAGATGGCTAAGTGAGAGTCTCAAGCACATACTTTGCCCACCTTAGCAAGGACAGAGCAGACTTGGCCAGTACAGGTTAGACCCCCACACCAAGTTGTGCCTAAGGCCCTCTGCCCACGTTTCCTGCTGGCAATGCTAACCTCTAACAGCTAACAGGCAGGTCTATTTGGTGCTACCCATGACTGCAGGCTTGTTTTACAAACTCTCTTCAGATCAAATGAGAAGGAACCCTCTTGTGCTGTGTACCTAGTGTTATTTTCTTGGCTGGTATGCAATTTCTTACACAAAAGGCAGCCCGGGTATTGCATTTTTTTCTAGGATTTGTCTTACACAGGTGATGTTTCTCATTCTTGAGCATTATGATGCCAACAGCAGTAATACAGAAAATCACTGTGGAACAGAGCAGCACAAACAGCTGTATCTGGATATGCCACAGACACAACAGCAGCACCCCTCAGTGAGATGCCAGGTGAGTGAAATGGATTTGTCAGGCTTCCCCATAAACATTCTGCATGTACCTTTCAATAGAATCAACGCTGAAAGAGAACAAACCCCTCTTGTAGTCGAGATGCTTTGGGGTGCACTTGTAGATGTTTCCAAGTCTCCTGGAGCAGCCAGAGCAGAACAAGGTTTCTACCACGCTGTAAGTAAGACATGTAACATTTATTCAGGAGAAGATAAAAGGAAGCACCTCTCTCCATCCCTGTTCCAAAAAAATTCATGCATTACAGTTTTTTAGAGCTTTACACAGTGTAATTATGGGCACTCATCTTTCAGCCTGCATTCCCACTGGCTCCTTAGGCTGGCTGACCTCGGCAAAAACCACTGAATGGCAGAAGGGTTTGGGATGGAAGGGATCTTAAAGCTCATCCACTCCCACCCCCTGCCACAGCAGGGACACCTTCCACTAGATCAGATTCCTACAAACCCTCTCTAGCCTGGCCTTGGACACTTCCAGGGATGGGGCAGCCACAGCTTCTCTGGGCAACTTGTCCCAGGGCCTCACCAACCTCACAGGGAAGAATTTCTTCCTAATATGAGGAATAAACAGAGTGTTCTTGCAAAACTTCTAATAGTCATAATTGGTTTAGTAAGAGAGTAGAAAGTTACTGGTTATGCAGCCTTTGATCTGTGTAGTTTTCTTAGGAACAAGAGAATCAATCAGCTGCAAGGAATAAGTAACCCTCCTCCAGCTTTGAAGTATGTGAAAACTCCACATGAAAGGTATAGTTTGATAAATTGTACACTGAAAAGGGAGGGGAGCCTGTAACCCTGGAGTATCTCAGCCCATGGAGAAACAGGGAGGGATTTGCATTCTGGGTGAGATAGGATAAAACAGAGGCTGAGTCCCCTACCAAGTTGAATGACCTCACTGAGGTTTGTTCAGTGAACTCTCCCTTTTATTCGAATAAAAGTTGATTTTTTTTTTTTTTTTAGTTAGCTTCTCTGTCTCCTGGCTATTTATGTGTTTCCAAATACCTGGATTTTTTGAATACTAATGTCTAATCTAAATCTGCCTTCTTTCAGTTTAAGGCCATTCCCTTGTCCTATCACTACACGCCCTTGAGAGAAGTCCCTCTCCCTCAGTCCATAAGCACCTTGTACAGACCTAATCCACGAGCACCTTGCACAGACCACCCCAAATAAGTGTTTCAGGGGCTCCCCGGGGACACACGGGCACTCCCGCCCGCCGGGCCGTTTTACCG